AAAAAAAAAAACGCTCAAAAGCAAAATTGAAGGAACGGAATGAATTGGTGATAACGAAAGGAGTTTGTTTCGTTATGTTCCATCTGCATATCTGAAGCTATACGAGTAACAAAGCGATAGTAGAAAATGGTTTCTCGCAAGAAACGCCTGTGATCAGATGTGAGAGCCTGCTGACAAGCTAACGTTATCTCCTTGGCAGCTGTTGCATGGTCTCGTCACGCAACGGAGAAAGAGAACGCATTGCGTGACGAGACTAGACAACAGTTGCGTAGGAGACTACAGAAAGGGAAAACTATTCAGACGCCAGTGAAATGGACCACGAAAACCTATGTCTAGCTTTATTTCAGACAAATTGGAAGGTTTTTTTAAATATTTTTCTCTCCATTGAACGATATTTTGTTTGGAATCTTTTGTAGTTAATGCTTTTTTTCTTTTGAAATGCAAGCATTAGTTACATAGTGTTCCATCTCAACCCACATCCAAAAAAAGAAAACTCTTGGATGCGTGGCATGCCTTTGTTTAATAACAGTGTTGATTGCTAAATGTACAGCTTCTTCCCCTCTATCAGGTTGATTTATTTCCTCCTTTTCGCCTTAGGGGTCGAACTGACTTTTTACAAAGTTGGGACCTTGCTCGACAACCCAGTTTTCTCCTTTCTAGCCTGGACGTATGATAGGCCATGGCACTTTCAAGTAGGAGGAAAAATAAAGCCCCTAAGTTTGAACTAAAGCCCCTAAGTTTGAACTATGTTTCCAAAAGATGTTGACCAAGTAATCTTATAACCTACGAATGGTAAAGGGAAATAAAAGAAGATTTCGGCTCTGACATCCAGAACTTGAACGTGATTTATGAAATGAAAGATGATGGGAAAATATGCAGCTAGGGCTCACCCTTAATTATCTCCTATGTATAGCAATTTAAAGAACTGTGTGTACTAAACGTCTCTCTTGGATAAAAGGTAAAACACAGTGTCAACAACAAGCAGCCCAGCTCAGAGTCGGAGATCAGCACAGTCGGCCAGCCATTATCCCTCCATTGGAGGGCTTCATCTTTTTTTTTTTTTTCCTTTCAGGTTTCTTGCAAGCTTCTGTGTATCAGAAAGGTATATCATCTCCTCTCGGCCATTTAGATTTTTCAGAGCCAACACCAGTTTGGCGCACTCTCAACATTTGTCCAACCGGTTTGACCAATGAAAAATTGTTATCAGTGGTGGGAAAAGGCAGAGGACTGTCTTTTACAGTGCAAATAGCCGAAAGTGCATCAGAAATCATGTTAGATGAACCACGCACAGTCAATGTACAGAGAAATGAGGTGAGCGTGTTTCAGTTCATTCCACCTCAAGGTATCTCTGATAAACAACTGGACATCACCGCTACGTCTCAGTCAAACCTTGCTGCCTACTTGAAAGTATCACAAACGTGTGAAGATGTCAGTGAAAACTTACAAGTTGTTGACTACAAAAAGAAATCCCTGCGACTTTCTTTTGCCACAAAAGGACGGTTTACTTTATCCAAAGTTTCTGTTCCCCCGTTAACCGATTCCGTCTCCAGATGGTTCATTGGAATTGGTCTGAAGAACATATCAGGTGACGTCAAAGTTAAAGAGTCAAAAAACGTCACTTTGAAGTTGACAAGGTCGTTCAATTATAGTTATGCCTCGCCCATTTGTGCCCTGTTTTTTGCGTCATTTGGGGTTGGTATATTAGTGTCTCTCTGCGCATTTTTTCTCTTCAAAGGGTCTCTCGTAGATCCAGCCGATGAGCAGTTCAAAACTGATACTTGTAATTTTTCATGTTGTGACTTGTGGGAGGTAATCAAAGATCACTGGTTTTCGTTTGGTCCAAAGACCTATTCCTACATTACAGGTATTGTAGGCAACGTGCTTATAGTAGGCGCTTTTCAATTTGTTTTTGCAAACTGGTATACCATGATACAAGAAGGTGACAGAGATAACTGTTACTACAACGACTTTTGTTACAGAGTTGTCAGTCATGATATTCCATTTAATTTAATGATAAGTAACTTATCTTACATAATCCATGGCCTAATCTTAGCTGTGTGGGTACTGATAATGGAAACCAAGCTGCTTCTTCTGTTTAAAAGTCACTCCAAAGAGTTTCAGAAACACCCCAAGCTACCAGAACATGTCCTGTCATGTCCTGAAACTAACTTTCATCTTTTGGAGAAAGGTATTCCAGAACTAGAAACACAAACTAGAAATAATACCACGAAGACATTAGATGAGGAAAAAAAGATACTGGAGAAAAGGAGAATATTTTTTGCCGAAGTAATGAAAAAGAGGTATTGTTTTTCCATTGGGTATGCTTTTTCCTGGGCTCTGGTCTTTGAGGGATTGTTTTCAACCCTTTACCACTTGTGCCCAAGCAGGTTCACATTTCAGTTTGATTCGGCCTTTATGTTTATCATAGCTGGTTTAACTGTACTGTTGTTGTATAATGGCAGAGAGCAGGATCGCTGTCCAGATTCCGCCAATGTTAAGTACCCAGTTGGTGCTTCGAACTTCTTCCTTTTTTTCATTGTGCCTCTTTTTATTTTTAATTACTTTGGCTCGCTGTACAACTCTGATTCTGGGGCCAGCAAAGTGCTGCAAGGTTTTTTTATCGGATTCCTGTTCATTTGGTGGCTTGTGATGATTTTGTGGGCTTTTTTCAAGTTAAATATTCGTGACAAGATTAAATCTTGCTGTCAGTGGGAATCTGAAAGTATATGTAACGTGTTTTTATTTATTTTGGGTGCCCTAGTGCCTTGTGGGCTTTTTATGATTTACTGGTTTGGCGATCTGGCTCAAGTGTTTTTGTTTGCATGCATTGCCTGTAGTGCCGTTGCAGTCTTAGCTAAAGCTAAGCTTTGCAATTGGGAGAAAGACTACAAGTGTAATTGCTCTGCCATGAAAGTTTCGCAGGGGATTTTTATTGTCATCACCGTCATCACTTTTGTGGGAGCTTTTTGCGTTTTCCATTATAAACCCACCACGAACAAAACATTGTCCCCAGAAAACTCCCGTGACAAAAACAAAGAGTGCACCATTTATGGTTTTTTTGACTGGCACGACATTTGGCATTTCTTGTCCTCTTTTGCTCTCCTCATGGGTGCATTTGTTGTCATGTTTATGAATTCGGAAAAAGTGCAATTCCCGAAAAAAGCGATTACCAGAAGATACACTGTATAACTCTGATCCTGGGACCAGCAAAGTGCTGCAGGGTTTTTTTTATCGGATTCCTGATCATTTGGTGTCGTGTGATGGTTTCTTGGGCTTCTTTTAAATTAAATGTTCATGACGAGATAAATCTTGCAGTGACTGTGAATGTAAAAGTATATGTAACGTGCTTTTATTTATTTTGGCTGCCCTGAGAGTGCCCTGTGGGCTTTTTATGATTTACTGAGCCAAGTGTTTCGGTTTTCATGCATTGCCTGTAGCCTCGTTGTAGCTTTAGCTAAAGCTAAGCTTTGAGAGAAAGACGACCATTTATTGTTATCACCGTCATCACTCTTGTGGGAGCTTCTTGCATTTTCCTTATTTTACCCACTACGAACAAAACATTGTCCCCAGAAAACTCCCGTGACAAAAACAAAGAGTGTGCCATTTTAAAATTTTTCGACTGGCACTACCTTTGGCATTTCTTGTCCTCTTTTGTCCTCCTTATGGGTGCATTTGTTGTCATGTTTATGAATAGGCAATTTTTTAATTACTTTCAGCCTCGTGTTTAAAATGAGGCCAAGGGTAATTCGGAATTGGGCTATTCGGAAAAAGTGCAATTCCCGAAAAAAGCGAATACCGCGAAACCGCAAGGGAATAAAATAGAAGATACTCCTACATAAGAGGATTTTCCAATTTACCATCTTCAGTGATCCGGTATTACATAACTTTTGCTTTACTCCGGTCTGTGACTGCCAAACGAAAATAATTCTGACTTGTTCGCCCCCGATTTCCCTTCGCTTTTGGTATTTTACTTGTTTTATTCTGAGTTCTAATAGGCTATTGATAATGTCAAACTTTGTTCCTATTGGATGCTATGATTATTTGGTTTTGGATTTTCGACAGCAATTCAAAACTGCTCTGATAGACTAAGAGATGACTGGGGGATTTAGTTAGGAACATACGTTCCTTTACCTCTGGGGTTTTAGAGTATGTCTTTTGAAGAAAAGATTATACTATGCTGCTTTCACTTTAAGCATTTTTTTTAAGTTCAGTCCTCATGAACATGTAGATTTGCACCTTGGTAATGAGAAGGCTAGTGAGAGCAACGCATGATAACATTGAAGGGCATCAGTTCTGAGTATCATATGGAAGCACGGGGAAAATATAGTTAGTTGGGGATATTGGGATACTGTTAACTCACCCTATATAGATTTCCAAAGGTGAAACTCGTATTCAGAGAATTGCAATAAGTGTCTTGCTGCTCTCAAACCTGTTGCGAGCAAGATAAGCAAGTCAATGAAGAGAACTATAGAAAGGTTGAATGTAAATAACTTGCTTTTAAAAGCTCACATCTGGCTATTCTTAAATCTTACTGAAACCACTATATACCTAATCATGTGATAAACCGATACATGTAGTAACTTCAGCTAGCATTATAACTAACTGGACTTTGTAAATTATGTAAAAATGTAATAGCATTTTTATATCAAGGAATAATTTCAACATAAAGCTGTAATGGCCCTTTATAGTGGCCGTGAATTTAGACGGAGAATGTTCTTTAAGACATTTGTAAATCTTTTAGGTTTATTTTCCTGAAATTTTGAGAATTGGAGTCAACGTTTCACATGATAGAATTTGCCATTTTCGCACTTATTTTGGCCGGATCAACCAAGTCAATTTTTACAAAGTGACATCCTTGATCAAGAAAGCGAGAAGGAAGATTTAAGAAAAGAAGAAAGACGCGATCGAAAAATGTGGTAGCTTTTCAAAGCAAATCTTTCCTGAAATATTGGCTACCAATAGAAAGTAACTTGTTACAATCGTCTTAGAATTCGATGATCTAATCTAGGTATTATGCTAGCATCAAAAGTTATTGTTCGTAGTATTATGCCGGTTCAACGATACTTTTGCATTTGCTAAATTCTAGAAGAAGTACAATAAAAGATTCTGTAATAAACCATGCGCGGGATTGTCTATTCTTGGAGAAGATAACAGAGCGTGAGTGAAAGTATCTGACATTTGATTGGTAGAGCTTTTTCCACCTAAGTGTCGAAAGAAATCAGGGATCTTGCCATAGCTTTGTTTTTATTCGCTCTATGATCGGCTCAAAAAACTCTCGCCACCCTTTCAGCTACCAATCAGATTGAAAACTAAAAAGCCAGTCGTAACTTGAAGCGTTTTCCCGCGCTTCAAACAGTCTGCTTGGTATTATTCCAGGCTCTTACTGGTAATGGCCGTATTTTTCTTTGTTCTGACTGGCTGTTGCGATTGCGAATCGTTTTGGTTTGAGTACACTCAGATTAAATGTCCCTTTTGAAGGCCCTAAACAGGTGTAATTTATTAGTCTTTCACAGTATTTCAGGATTGTACAATTACCTAGAGAGATTTCTACCGTTATAGTCAGATTCAGTGTAGCTCAAAAATTTGACCCAATCACCCTTCGAGACTTACAGAAACACCGATAGATTAAATTGCAAGATGCTTTGTATTTGTCGAACAAGAAAATCTGTCCAGGCTGCTACGGATTGAAGTCCAAAATTTACGGTAAAGGAAAAGAAGCACCGTTTCTTAGTCCACAATTTCTTCCTTCTCTTGCGGAGGTTTGTGATCAGAACGAGGTGTCCAAGATGACTTCTACTTGTCAAGACATGGAAGTCTGTCCTTTTAGCTACGGATGTAAGTCCGTTATAATTGGAATATATCAACAAAGTTGAAATAGTAAATTGGCCACCGTTACGATTATAGCCCATTCGCTCCGACGAAGGGCTAACGCTC